GAGCGAATTCGCTCGCGAACTAATTACCTATGCGGCGCGCCGCCTCACGGCGTGCGCCGCTAGCTACGGCGACGAGGGTCCAGCGCGCGCGAGATCATCTCGCCTGTCGCGCTGCAACCCGGCGGTCGAGCTTCCCTGGATCTGCAACACTTGTTGTCGTGATGGTAGATGCCCTATCGCCATGTACCATCACGATAACGCACCATCGCACATGTCCTTGAAAGCGATGGCCAAATTGGACGAATTACGATTCGAATTGGTTGCTCACTCGCCATATTCTCCAGATTTGGCCCCCAACGACTATTATCTGTTCCCAAACCTTAAGCGGTGGCTCCAGGAAAAGAGATTCACGTCGAATGAGGAAGCCATCGCGGAAATCGAGGCATATTTCGAAGGCTTGGACATTTCGTACTACAGAAAGGGCATCGAAATGTTGGAAAATCGCTATACCAAGTGTATCGCACTCGAAGGCAACTATGTTGAAGAATAAATATAACTTTGCCCAAGAAACGTTTGTTTTCATTAAAAATCCCGGAACTTTTCACCTCGGTGTAGTATAAACAACCCTTTGCGCGCACTGGTGCCAGCGGCCGAATTCGCCATTAGTTTCTTTAGTTATGTTCCTCTTTTTTGAAAGGTTAATATATCATTTTATATTACTAATAATATGCTTTCGATGACTGATTACTCAAATTATCATCATGAAGCATTGTCTCCCTTTCTCCAACATTCTGCATATAATGAAATGAATCAACTTCCTGGTTTATATCGGGTAATGTCGATTTATATCCTCTCGATTATGTCCTCTCGATGGGTTATGTCGATTTATATCCTCTTGATTCGGAGAATGTTCTTTTGCGGATTAGCAAACTTCTTCCTCTCTTCCATGTGATGAGCATCTTAAAGCATCTGCACCTAAATATAAAAAATAACATAAATTAATATTCGTACATAAATCTAGTTCGCCTAAATATGGAAAATAAAATAAATTAATATACTTACTTAAATATCATTCTAACGAGAATTTTGAGAACTTCAATAAATAATATAATAATTGATTCAATATTTTATTTGAGGAGAAAAAATGCGATAAAGTCTAAGAAACATTTTAAATAAATAGAATATATTTAAGGAAACGGACACAAAGTTTGCACTTCTTATCATACAAATAGATTGAATAACAAGATGGGCGTTTGCTTACCTTGTGACAAGGAGAATGAGTATTCATATATTTTCGGTAATTCACGTTCGCGATCATCATTTATCTCTTAAGAAATTATGTCTTGTTAACATACAACAGATGTACTTGCGTTGTCATGAACATCGCATCTATGAAGTTTATTCTTTTCAACTGCATGTTGAGACTGATTGAAATTTCATATAGCATAGTGTATATATTGTGACGTAACAGCTTGAAGCGTCCGTCACAATATGCGGATGCCCTCGAAGATGCCCTATCGCGGATAGGGAGGCGCGCTTCTTGCGAGCGCATAATCGGTGCAACGAGTTCTTTTTCTTTTATATTTTTGCGTAACGGAGACCGTGCACTTCAAGTGCGCGAGAATTATAGAGGCGAGCACCACGTCCCGCAAAAATGGTATGGCCCCGCTCCGGATGGCGACGAGAAGAGATGAGAAGCAGATCGAGCATCACCCGCCGGATGTACGAGAAGAGACCGCACCATAACGCGAATTAACCTCAGGTGATTCTCCTTGCTCTTTTTCGCGCTATCGGGACTTTACCCTTGGTATTACTTAGGCTGTAAAGTTCCGTTCGTTTGTTTACAGCGGTAGAGCCGACGTGCGAGGACGCGCACAGGGACGAATCCAGCGACAACCGGAGTTCCGACGTCGCGCATAGATACCGAGGCAGGAGGTGAGACGACGGACCGAGGAAGTAGCTGGGCCGCCGTCGGAAAGCCCCCAGGAATCGAAAAAGGATGAACTGGAAAAACATGACAGAAAGGGGACCTGTTAAGTTCTGCGGGTTTGCCGAAGGAAAATAGTCTCCTGCTTAGTGACTTGGTGGTGAAGAGTAGCAGAGCGAAAGCTAGAGTAAAAGCGAAAGAGAGAGAATGCGAGCGAGAGAGCGAGAGCGGGATGGCGAGACAAGGAGAGAGCCAGGGAGAGCGAGAGAAAGGACGTGCTCGGCAAGAAGTACGGGATTCGGGAGCAGCACTGGGAGCCAGTCGCCAGGAGCCCGATTTGTTTGTAAGGCCGCCAATCCGCATTTACAATTAACAAATACCGCGTGAACCGTTCGTTCTGTCGACATACGAATTGCCTTCCCAACGGACTTTGGGGAAGTGGCGATAACGCCAAGTTTTAATAAAATCCGTTGGTGGCTGCGTCGGGGTCGTGCCCGGGGATCACCTCCCGCGGGGATATCGTATCGTGCTGTGCTCTCCACTTTGGCTCGACTGCCGCTCGAAAGGTTCAGCCACCCTACTGGCAGATATTGCGAGTCCGCCGCGGTCCAGATCTCGCGAACTTAAGATTGTAAATACGAGGCGCTATCGATAAGCGCATTGTATTACCGTTATTGATAAACCAGAATAAAGGCAACCACTGTATTGTCAGAACCCTGGTCTTGTGCTTTAGTTCTGCTATTCCGACGTGACCCTATCAACCACCCCGACTCCGACTTAACTTACACAGGAGCTACCGTTCGGAACGAACCGAGGTCGCAAGAGAGAACGTACCGGATCCGAAGTACGGGAAAACTTTGTCGAAACCTTAGGTTTTTTTTTGTGGGTGCGGCTAGTCCGCATCTGGCGCCCATGCTTTTCAATAGCGTTGGTGACCAGAGGTTCCCCTCTCGTTCAGGTTCGCCCGGCGACTTTGCTCCGGCGACTCGGATCAAACCGAATCGGGAAATCCGGTCGCAATATATATACATATATATGTTTATGAATGGATAGTTTTCAGGGCTATAAAATTATTAGTAATACAAATAAGTTTCCGCCGTTTTCAAAAGATGGCTCCACCGTATAATATATACAGCCGTACATTTCAACCCGTGCGTTATACGATGTACGATTTTATATCTTCTGATGTTGTATTGGTAATACAAATAAGTTTCCGCCGTTTTTTTTATAAAAATTATCAATTTATTGTAAAAAAATATACGTTACATTTTATTCAAAATATTGTCCGTCACTAGCTACTACTTTTTGCCATCTTTCTGGCAGCATTCGGATGCCACGTCGAAAAAACTCTTCATCTTTTGAGGCTACCCATGAATCGATCCAATTTTTGACTTCTTCGTAAGAAGTGAAGTGCTGCTCGACCAGGGCGTGAGCCATTGACCGGAACAAGTGGTAGTCCGAAGGAGCAATGTTTGGTGAATACGGCGGGTGGGGTAAGATATCCCATTGTAAAGCTTCCAAAGTATCCTTGACGACTTTTGCAACATGTGGCCGAGCGTTGTCGTGCTGAAAAATCACTTTGTCATGTCTTTTGGCATATTGGGGGCGTTTAAGCTTCAATTCTTGCCTTAATTGCATCAGTTGCTGTTAATAACGTTCTCCAGTGATAGTTTCATTAGACTGGAGTAGCTCGTAATAGATTACTCCGAGCTGATCCCACCAGATGCACAACATTAGCTTCTTGCCATGAATATTCGGTTTGGCCGTTGAAGTTGGTGCATGGCCGGGTTTACCTCACGATTTCCTACGCTTTGGGTTGCCGTAGTAGATCCACTTTTCATCCCCCGTCACTATTCGATGCAAAAAACCCTTCCGATTTTGTCTTTGGAGAAGTTGTTTGCACGTGAAAAGACGGCGTTCGACGTCTCTGGGTTTGAGTTCATGCGGAACCCAATTTCTTTGTTTTTGTACCATACCAATAGTCTTGAGACGGTTTGAAATCGCTTGTTGAGTCACTCCCAAATTTTCTGCGAGCTGCTCTTGAGTTTGGCATGAGTTTTTGTCCAATAATATCTCTAACTCAGCGTCTTCAAACTTTACTGGCCTTCCTTCGCATTCCTTATCTTCCACGTCAAAATCGCCGTTTTTAAACTTTTGAAACCACTCACGATAACTACTCTCACTTAAAACAGCATCACCGTAAACTTCTACAAGCGACCGATGCGCCTCAGCAGCAGATTTCTTTAAATGAAAGAAATAAATCAAAACTTCCCGCAAATGACGCTTATTCGGTACAAAACTCGAAATTTCCGAACGAAAAAAAATTTATACTGCCAATACAAATTATATTAATATATTTATTATATAGTGCATTATATATAACACACTTTATTTAGAAATTTAATATCTATGATACACTTTATTTAGAAATTTAATATCTATGAAATGAAACGCTTTGATAATAAGTAGAAAGTATTTTGTCCTTATCACCAAAGCAAAAATAGATACGAAATCGGACACAGTAGCTGCCTTTATTTTTTGACATCAACATTGCGCACTACGCTTTTTTATCTTACGAGATATAGCGAGGCGCTGATATTGCATCATTGAAATGTCACGATCCGCAAAAATTGAAGAGTTATTGCCGTTTCTTTAAAAATCACATACAGATTCAAGGTCATCATGTAAAGAAATTTAAATGATTACGCACTTTCAAGGAATGCAAAATGGAAATTATACTTACTAGCAACATATGATTCTCTATATTTCGATAGATTGATCTGACTAGTTTTTGCGTTGTAACGTTGAAACGCTTAATTAGTAATGCTTGGCATACGAAAATCTTGTATTGTTTTAAAAAATTCAGACAGCGTACGGGCTGCATTAATATATTGAGCAATAGGCCCGAGTTGGCGCGACGGACTCTCACATTCTCATACGTGATTTTGCAGGCAGCAATCCGGTTAATTTTACGGTCGTTGCGCTACCGCGGCGCGTCGTATACATCCGTCGTACATGAATGAAAAACGATTTTCTGTGACGAAAATATATGGCGCATGCAATAGTGAGATATTTTTCTATAACGCATATATCCGTTCATATGTAGCGAAATATTTCCGCTTAATTTACAAAGTCAAAATTAATTATACGAGGGGTCAGCGGACAGTTTAAGTCAGGCGAATTAACGGCAATACTGGGTCCTTCTAGTGCTAGAAAATCGACGCTTCTTAATATCCTTACGGGTTATAAGTGAGTTAAATAATCATATTCTGATATGTTAATTCTTTTCTTCTTTCTTTCCTTTTTTATCGACCAAACGAATTTATTATTCTTGCAACTTATTCGGGCATTTTATATCTGTGCGATTAATCGACAACAAGCAGCTATTTTCATTCAAGTAGCTATTTATATATTGCAAATTTAAGGACTGTCTAAGGATATACATAAAATGACAAAGCTGCATGTAGAGGGTGTTGCATCACATATGACCCATTGTAGGACGGGTTGCCTTCCCAAAGGTGCGCGCGTCCAAATGGCAATTTCGGATTTTTCGATATAGTCACTAGCACACCTTTTTTTTTTGTTATGATAATTGTAAGGTGTAGTTTATTAGGTGCAAGGATGATCGAGTTTCGACGCTTCGGATTGAGTATTAGTCTTATAAAAATATTTAATAGAACACAATACAGTTTGTCTCACGAAGTTACTCTCGCAGTGTTTCTCGAAAAACTGAACTGCTAGCTGTTCGACGTCTGCCTTTTATATCTAGAGATCGGTGAACCTCAAAGACGTCGGCGAGTCGGGTATCGATCACAGTAGACCACCCCGCTTCGCTGTCAGCTTACTGCGCCGGTTTCCGCGGCTAATGTTAACGCGGTTGGTATCGTAGGTAACGCCGCTTTTGTATACAAACGCAATATGCCGACTGCTTTAGAAACGAACCGTAAAGGAAAAAAAGACTAAACATAAAATTATTAAATGTGTTATGCTACATAATTAAGATAATAATTACAAACGCTATAACTGCGTTGGAAAAGTATTACTATAAGGAAAAATCCGAAATTATCATTTGGACGCGTGCGCATTCGGGCACGCAACCCGTCATAGAAGGTCCTATGTTGATTCAACATCCTGTACATGATATGGTAACATAAAACCGTTTCGACCAATAAGCATATTTTTTAAACCAATACGACTATTTTACGACTATTTTAGACTAGATGCTCAATGGTCCAGACGATTTCATACTATACATATGCAGATATGTCAATTTGTATGCGATAGTCGTAAGGATGAATTGTTTATACAAATAATATCGTAGAGTATTATATTAATCGTCGAAATGGAATTACATCAACAATTCTATTATATTATATCTTACAGACATATATATGTTGTATGTGAAATGTTTAAGAAATATAACGTAAACTTTGAAAATCACTAATCTCGACACATGACATACCGATTAAATAATCACCAATACAGCACAAATGTTCAAAAGACATTATAGAGAAGTCCCAGAGATATTTGATATTTACTTATGGAATATAGAATAAATATGCACATAAAAACTTTGTATAAAATATTAACACATATTTGTATAAAATACAACTAAATATCCTAAAAATATTCCAAAGGATATTCTGAACATATTCAGGATGATTCTGAGGACGCCTTGTGCTGTCTGGGTAATCATTTAATTAATTTTACGGTTGTAATTTAATTAAAGATGCACGGACGTAAGTGGCTCCATAAGTATCAATGGACAACCAAGAGAAGTTCGGGAATTCAGGAAGATGTCGTGTTACGTCATGCAAGAAAATGTTGTGTAGCCGAACCTCACGGAAGCAATGACATTCGCCGCCGACCTGAAGCTTGGCAAAAGAAAATCCCGATTTGAGCAAGTCGTTATCGTAAGTACACCACAAGTCAATACATAAATGCGTAATATGCTCCCCATCCTTTCTTTCTTTTACTTTATTTTTACGTTTTATAATATCCAAGATTATTTCGCACTAACAGCTGTACTGTTAAATATTTATACATTTGTCGCCGCGCGTAAATCAGAGGAATATCTTTTAGATAGACGAGATTCTGAATACTCTCAGATTGTCTGCTTCACGAAGCACAACCTCGGAGAAACTGTCCGGTGGCGAAAAGAAAAGGCTGATGATCTTTCTCGAGCTAGTCAATAATCCACCGATTATCTTTCTTGATGAACCGACCAAATAAGTGCACAAAATGCAAGTAACTTTATCTAAAGTTGCTTATAAGAGCGCAGAAAAATTAATTGTGCCATTTGATAGTTCTATATAAAAGTTAAACAAAATCTCAATAGGCATAAAGTGGAAATATCTCCACTGTCGTATGACACAGACCAAAATCTGAAATGTGATCACGCATTGACGATTTTCAATTTTTTCAGTGTCAATATGTTGCAATGGTCAGATACTAATCAAAACTATGTTTCTGATAATGTATTACACTAGGTTAAGCTTGAAAATCTTAAGGCCTACTTGTTTTCATTTAGGAGTAATCGGGCTTTCCATAGTTTCAGCAATAGTGATTGCTGTTTCACGTGATGTAATGTTAATAGCACACAATATTACAAGTGTTTTTCGCCAATTTTTGGTGCATTTAAGAACCACGCTTACAAGCAAGTGGTTACCCATTGTATTAATTTTACAATTTTATCGTTCTAATTTCTATATTTGATTATTTTTTATCTTCCATCTCGGTGTTATATATCTTACTTACAAAGAGCTTTCACTCGTCATTTTCGAATCAGACAACTACCACCTAAACAAGCGATATTCAACTTATATAGATGGTGCTTATCTGATCCGAAAATGACGAATGACGAATGTAAGCTTTTTGAGTTAGCACAATTAATTGATTTTGTAGATAAAATTAGATTATTTTTATTCGTCGCTCCATCGTGAATTTCTCCATAAATATTTTCCAAGGATTACGTATAATTTGAAAAAAAAAATTTCAAAAATTAATAGTAAAAAAGTTAATATCTTTTTAAATGGTCTAGTGACTTTTTGATCTTTCTAAGCTTTTTTTTTATTCCGATGAAAGGTCTACACGCTCTTCGATATAAAAAGAAAATGTTGATCGATAACACTTTATGTATTTTCTGTATCTTCTCTGCTGTTCTTTGTATTTATTTCTTCTTTTACGCAGTGAGCACTTTGGAAATATTCATTTTTCAAGACAATTAGCACTGCGCATTTACGTATCATTATGCATTTATAATGAAGGGAATGTACAAGAAATTAAAAATTTGTCACATAATATTATCTTTTAAGAATACGTAAGTGGACGACTGTTCTTCGAAATATGTTAAAAGTGTGAAGAATTCTCTAATAGAGATGAATATAGGCGCGAATATTCATATCTAGACAAAAGGCAAATATTTGATGATAAGTGATACATTCGATAGGTATATGAAGCAATGTTTCAACATTGTCTTTCGCATTTGAAAGGTATTAAGCAAATATCCCAAACAATTGCGAAACGCTCCCGTCATAAAATAAAGCGTTACTATTATTTTCTTTCGATGACAGAAAGCTACATAATGTTCTCTCGCACGTTAATTTTCGAAGCACATTATAAACGTAAATATATTGTTGATTGAATTTTCTTTCAGTGGTTTGGATGAACTGTCTTCTTCTCAATGTATCGATCTTCTGCAAAAATTGGCGCAGATTGGACATACTGTCATATGTTCGATACAGACCCCCAGCGCGAAAATATTTCAAAAATTTGACCACGTCTACGTCATCACTGCAGGACAATGTATTTACAGAGGCAGTGCGAGCAACCTAGTGCCATATCTACAAAGTATGGGCATAGAATGTCCGAGACATTACAATCCCGCAGATTTCGGTAAGTTTACAAGAATGTGAAAAAACGACCTTATGTTCAATTGTAAATTACTCTAAATTACATTTATTTCTGCTAACATTGTACGCCCAAAATAATAGTATTAAGCATTTCAAGAGAATAGATTTATAAGTTACATTAAATAGTTATCTGAGAAATAGTGTAAGTCGCAGGAATAAGTAGATAATAATAAACGTCTGATCTGATGATACATGATACATTATAGTACATGATAACTATTTGCACACAATGTAACATTTTACTGCGTTTGCTTATTAATACACGTTTACTTTTATCATTTTTGATAAATATTTTATAATATTTTATAATACTTTAATATATACGTTTTTCAGAGGAGAAAGAAAGAGAAAGAAAGAGACATAAATTTTTTAACTATGTATATTTTTTAAATATTATTTGTGCTTAATTGAATATTAAAATCAAAATAATATCATGTCGCGTCCAAAGATACATAGAGAAATATCACTTAATATCGTTAAACTATAATTGTTTCAGTGATAGAAATTTCGTCAGGAGAGTACGATTTCGATCTGACCGAGCGAATGATCGCTTGTGTGGAAATGAAAGCACCTGCCGGTTCACCGAACGAAACAGGAATTCGAATTTGAAAGGAAAAATTATCCGAGTATATTATGGTTCGACCAATTTAGCACACTAGTGAAGAGATTGGTGATACAGTTCTATCGGAACAGGGTAAGATTAAGAATATTGTATTTTGCTGATTATAAATGGCATGTAAAAAAAAAACGGAGTGCGAAGGAAGTCCATTAATTGATGACATTAACGAAATTCAGTATTGAATAATTTTGAAACAAACATCCTAGTAAACATCAATTAACAGTCACGTAATATGCGCCAATTCTTGCAAAGGCTCGATACATTGAGAAGAAGCAGTTCATCCAAACCACTGAAAGAAAGTTGATTGTTTAGCATTTCGCGATTGTTCGGGATATTTGTTTGATATCTTGCAAGTGTGAGAGATAATGGCTTGATAATGAGAGATTTAAACATTTCTTCGTGTATATATCGAATATACCACTTATTATTAAATCTTTATCTCTTGTCTGTGTTCCGCGCGTGTATTTATCTTTATTAAAGAATTCTCCACATTTTCACATTTTATGTTTCAATGAAAAGTCGTCTTCTTATGTATTCTTAAAAGATAATATTATGTAAGTGATAAATTTAAAATTTTTTATATATTCCTTTATTATAAATGCATAATGATACGCAGTATTAATTGTTTTGAAAAATGAATATGTAAAATGAAAAATGAAAAATGAATGAATATTTC